GGGAAGGGAGAAAATTGCGGCAATGAATGAATGGAAATCCAAAACCTCTGTGTAAAAAAAATAAAAAATTAAAAAATTTTTAAAAAAAGCCAATCTTGGCATTACGTTTAGTCTATTAGTGGATGTGCTCCCATCTGAAGTGGCTACAATACCTGCAAGATCTTCCTTGGAAGAAACTAGTCTTGGAGAGCTGCTTCCTGGTTCGATTCTGAGAGATAATCTGAAAAGAAAAAAATTCATAAGATAAGATGTGCTTTGGTACATCACAGAGGTTAAGTAAATATGTGTATGCTTGGGGTTGGGAGAATGGATTTATGTTAAAGGCTATCTGCAAACATGGAACACAGGAATCCTGCCAGGTATGCTGGAGACCACCTTCACTTTTCTAAGTTCCCATTTTTGTATCTGGAAAACAATGGTAAAAGATGACAAAGTAAAAAGAGTAATTCTAGTTGTCTGTTTATTGAGGACAAATGAGTTAAGTCTTAGAACAACACTATGAACTAAGCATATTTATTGAACACATTTTATAGATGAGGAAACTGAAGAACAATGATGTTAAGTAGCTTTCCCAAATTCACAGGGCTAGTAAAAGAAATGCAGAGGCTCAAATCCAGGACTTTCTGATCTGAACCAGGGTTTCTAATTATTATGCTGCACCCTCTCTCACCAGATGCTACCAGAGAAATATCAGACAGTGGACAAGGTGGGAGGACTCACATCTCACTCTTGGTTTGTTTTTAAAGAATGCTTGGGTGAAAATAACAGTATGGAGCCAGATTCCAGACTTTCCCTCTCCCAACAAAGCTAACAAACAATTATAAAGGCTTATTAATAAAATGTCTTGCCTGCTGAAGCTAAGCAAATTGAGGTGTATAATCTAAAGTCATTAACTTTCACAACTTGCAAGGAACTTGCAACTTGGAGGAAAGAAAAAAAAAGATTTATTTTTTTCTGAAGTTATGACAAAAGTTGCAACATAGACTGGCTTAACTCCTGTCCTTTGAGATTTCTCTGTAGCTCCAAGTGGGAGATCTCATCTTTCTCTTACGAGAAAATAGATGTAGGGGAGAAACAGATTATATGGGTAGAGAACTTGGTACTAATGGATGGAAATGAAAAGTCCCCACATGGGTAGGGTTTGAGATCTGTGGATATCTTCTTTTAGGAATGGATTATAGCCCCGAACTAGGTGGAGGAAAGGATTTTTTTTTAAAGACTTACATATCTAAAAGGACCCATGCTTTGATGGTGCCAGAGATCCTTTTTTCCCCAATTTCCTTGGGCTACAGAAGAAAGACTCAGAACTAGTGGCCCTCTGGTAGCATCTGGTGAGAGAGGGTGCAGCATAATAATTAGAAATCCTACTTCAGGATGAAATCTCCTAAACAAGCGTTTGAATTAAGAGGGAAGACTCTTGTGGTAAAACAACAGGTGGCCTGAATGGAATCTGTTTAAAATTACTAAATAGTAGGAATTATCATTCCCAAGTTTATATTGTAAACTTGGACTCTGTGGTACCTAACAAAAACCAAGGAGGGCATGAAGAGGAAGCAAAGGAAGGGGCACAGTGCTAATGTTTTCTGTTCTTTTCTTTTATAGTCAACTGACTGACCACAATGGAAATGTAGTTAAAATAAAGTTTTTATTGACCCAAAGTTCTCATTTTTCATGATCTCTCTTTATTAAACTCAGAAGGATATTTAAAAAGACAATATCTCCAGAGGTGAAGAAACATTTAATTCCTTAAGTTTTATTTTAGTTCCTTTTTTTGTTAAATGAAAATGAATGCTTTTAATGAAAATAGCGAGTATAGTATGCCCAATTTTAAGAAATTCTACTCTGTATTTATCCATCAGTCCATCCACATATATATATATATATATATATATATATACACACACACACACACACAGAGAAAAATGTCTGACATTAGCTTACTTAATGCTAATAGTTAAAATTCTTTATATGATAGGAATTTGGGTAATTTTTCTTAAATTAAAAAAATAGAAAAAATGGCCAAGAACAACAAAGCACTGGCTGGGCCGTTGGCACAATATTTACAAAGCAGCTGGGGACAGGATGTTAGAAACACAATGTATTAAATGTAATAAGTAAACCATTGTATCCTTTGGGATGGGGAGCAAGTCTCCAGAGCATGAGCTGGGCTGTGACGTATGGGCTCTTCAGGGGCCGCCTACCTCCTGCCACTCAGAGCCAGGACCTCATCAAGAAGGCCTTCCTACTGACCACCCTCTGCTTGCCATGGGTCTGGGGACGCAGAGTGAAAATGCATACTTTCCACTTGTTTGCCCACTGTGACCATAACAAAGGATCTTTATAAAACTCAGGCTGCCACTGTTGTTTAACATCAAGTACTGGGGGTGTAAATGTCCTTCAGGATGGAGGGAGTAATTAGTCATGATCTGTAACTTGTCCAAGGATTATCTCATGGTCAGAAGTATTTATAGACCATTTTCTCCCCTTAAAGGATATTAGAGTTAATGAAAATCTACTGCGTTGTGGTTTTTTTTTTCTCATTTCAATACTGGCACATGATGGAAAATATTATCCCAGAACCTATGTGGGAATGATTTTTCCCTCCAGGGGTACTCTTTTCAGGAAGAGTAAATACTTTCTAAATAAAATGAGCTCACTGAGTGGCAGATATAATTTTAATCTCTATCTTTCATCTACTGTTTTTACAATTATGTAAGATAGCACAATTGTGTATTTTTTCATATTTTACTAAAGACTGGAAGAGGTCTATATTTGTTCCCATCCCAAAGAAGGGCAACCCAACTGAGTGTGGAAACTACAGAACAATATCATTGATTTCACATGCAAGCAAGATTCTACTGAAGAT